ATAACAGTGATATTTTTAAGAAAAACGCTGTTCACCTTTACTTTAGAACGTCTGAAGAATACTTACTAATTTTTCGGACTCGAAATAGTAAGTAATTTAAGCGTGACGGCCGGTTTAATTTTCTAGTGTGCATGAGACTTTGTGTGTAACATATGAAACTTTTAAGCAAGGTGTACAGTGAAGATTAACAAAGTACGTAAATGATATTTTAATTTAAATAATTCCGTGTCCAAACACCGTTCAACGAATGATTCGCAAAGCTAATTTAATAAATAATAATCGTGTTAAAGGACGTAAGGGATATGTTTGTTAGAGAAATATGAAGAGTATTATCAATAACCTTGACATAACCTTGAGGTCATGTCAAGGGCATGTCAAGGTCATATCAAGGTTATGTCAAGGTCATGTCAAGGTCATATCAAGGTCACATCAAGGTTATGTCAAGGTCAACATATGAAATTTTTAAGCAAGGTGTACAGTGAAGATTATGAATGATACAGAATGGTTTGCAAAGCTAATTTAATAAATAATAATCGTGTTAAAGGACGTAAGGGATGTGTTTGTTAGAGAAATATGAGAATATTATCAATAACCTTCACATAACCTTGACATATCAAGGTTATATCAAGGTTATGTCAAGGTCATGTCAAGGTTAGAGAAATATGAGAATATTATCAATAACCTTCACATAACCTTGATATGTCAAGGTCATGTCAAGGTCATGGCAAGGTTATGTCAAGGTCATATCAAGGTTATGTCAAGGTCAACATATGAAAAGGTCATGTCAAGGTTATTTGAAGGTTATTGATAATATTCTTCATATTTCTCTAACAAACATATCCCTTACGTATAATATAAATAATAATATATATAATATAAAATACATTACAATAAATAATATTCATTATCTCGAATAAGTTTTTGCATATGTCGCGCATATATTTTGTATATTTCGTGCACATATTTCGCACATTAATTTTGCATGTATCTTGCCTGTATCTTGCATGTTAATTTTGCATAAAGATGCGCTATCTATTAATTACTATCTCTTAACCCGTCGAACTGAAAGGGAATGTAGCAACACGAGTTCCTAGCCACTGCACAATCCTCTCAGCGCTCGAAACACCAGCCAGTGCTCTCGGTCACCAACAAACCAGAGTCTGTCTAATCTAATTCCGCGAAAGACGATCGAGAAGCGAGGAAAAGGAGCACGTCGGCGGCGATTCGTTCGAAAACAAGATTCCCGGTGATCTTGATCCCGTATAGTGGGCAATTCCTGCCTTGTTCCCCTCGGAAAGCTCGTTTGCTATTGTAAAATGGCACTGCGCTCGAATCCCCTAAACCGTGGTACAGTAATTTCCTTTACTACCGGCGGCGCCATTATCCCCGCGAGCACTCCGGGTCCTCTTCGCAAAGTCTCCTTTCTTCCGTAGATCTGGGTCGGTGTTCTTCGATCTTCGAGTCCAACGATGAAAGCGAAACCGTGTTTGGCCGGCTGGAGGCACAAGGCTACGGGGACCGTTTATTGGAACGCGTGCACGCAAACTGGACCGCAGCATGGCACGACGACGGTGGAACGGGTCGCTCAGACCGAATACCTCGTCGACAAATCCACGGTCACGCAACAGGACGTCGGTGTGCAATCATGCTCGTTCCCCGATGCCAGGGACAAGCTCTTGGAGGCCTTTACCTTTGATCACGGTTCCAGAACGGTATGCGATCTTGCCGGATTCAAGAGAGACCGGTAGCTTTACTGAGAACTAGAACTAGAATCGCACGGCTATCTTAGAACATTCGCACTTGAGAAAATTGAGACACGGAGCTGCGAGTTGAACGCGTTGATATTCTCCAAAAATCAGAATTCTGATCGCTCTTCTAAGTAATTGATTTTTCACGAATTCTTTCAAACTATGAACAAGGTGTCCCAAAATGATGGTATTTCCGGGAAACGAGGGGTACCTGAGGTCATTTGAAGTAACCTTTTCCTTTACAAAACTTTTCTCCGAGCCATCGTTAAGGAGTTATTAACGAAAAACAGTGACCAATGAGAGACGAGATTAACTGGTGCGAGGCGTCGAAGCTCAGTTCCGTTTATTGGCTCGGTCGCCTCGCGTCAGCTGAGCTGGGATTCGACCGCTCGACCGCTGGCGCCGTTGACTCGGCCGCCTCGCTCCAGTTGAGCTGGGATTCGACCGTTTGACCGCTGGCGCCGTTGGCTCGGGCGCCTCGCGCCAGCTGAGCTGGGTTTCGACCGCTGGCGCCGTTAGCTCGGCCGCCGTCGCTCGGCCGCCAGCTGATCTCGCCTCTCATTGGTCACTGTTTTTCGTTAATAACTCGTTAACGATGCCTCGGAGAAAAATTTTGTAAAGGAAAAAGTTGCTTCGACTGACCTCAGGAACCCCTCATTTCCCGGAAGTACCATAATGTTGGCACACTCTGTATATTCCGCGAATTGCTTATTCAACGGGCATACAAATAATTTTTGAAGCTCAGAATTGCCGAATATTAATCTCTAGGTATAAATCAACAACGAATTCATAACTATTAATAAAAGTGAATTTACTCTGATATATGAAGCGAGATCTGAAAATTAAGTTGAAGAATCTTCTCGATGAAAAAAAATAACTCGCAAACAAAGCCGCAGGGAAACGTTTTGTAAAGGAAAAAGTTACTTCAAATGATCTCAGGAACTCCTCGTTTCCCGGAAATACCATAATTTTGGGTCACCCTGTTCATAGTTTAGGACAGTCACTTTTCTACTCTGTGTTCGACGAGTATACTCGTTATCGTTTACTTAGCTACAGCTAACTTGGCAACAGCTAATTTGATTAAAGAATAGCGAAGTTTATGTTTTTCTTCTGATATAATTACTATACTGCGTTTTTTATGCATTTATGAGAAAAATGTGTACGTCGAACACAAAACTGAAACAACTTTAGGAGAACTCAAAGATACTGTTGCATTATTTTCGACTTATAACTTTGCATTAAAAGAAAAAAAGAGACATTCTCGTGTCGGCTATATTCCTTACAATTAAATTACACAATTTTTATTATGCATATAGATCCGCGGTCTAATAATTAATGATTGAAAATTTCTGGTTTTTCGGAAGATACGAACGCGCAACTTCCAGCGACGTGTCTGAATTTTTTCAGGTCGAAATATTAAAGAATGGCCGGGTCGGTCATTCGTCCTGCTTTTGTACAGCGTCGGATTCTCCTGTTTCTTCTAGGCTGCCGAGGTTGCGTCCCCACCTAAGGACTCCGCAAGGAACCGGAGGATCCTGGACAGCGTCGTAAAGATACAGAGGTTTTACAGGTGGAGTAATGGCCGATGTCGAGTTAAAGTAGCGAGTAGTGTAAAAGTTAGGGGAACGAGAGAGGGTTGCCTTTAGGCTTCCAAGCCTTTCTTTCCCAGCCGAGGTGCTGCGGATCCCGTAGAACCGCGTTTACCGTGTAGCGTAGAGCGTAGACGTTGAGTGCACTGCGGCGAGGAAGCACCGTCTCGGAAATTTCGCTCGAAATAACGATAGTTGATTCGGGGCCCCCATCTCCTTCCCGTCTCCCCTTCGACAGTATTTATACAATTATCTGGAGCAATTCGAAGTTTTCGGGCATTCGTTACGACGTCCGTTGTGAAACTTCGCTCCTTCGTTTACAGCCGGGGGACAGTTTCCCCCTCCGGTTATCGTGCTATCTTTATTCCGCGAAAATTAAGAAAATTTCGAGCCGTCAGGAGTTTCCAGAGCGAAGGTAAAAATTTATTAAAGGCTGCTTTAAGTGTGTCTTTATGGTTCACGTTACGACTTCTACCAAATTACTAATTGCATTTTTCTAGCGAAAAGAGGTTTCAGACATTTTATTTTAAGTTGTAGCATGAACAGAAACGTTTAGATTACGTTACCGATGCTAGCGAGAATTCTCCGCAATTTATTACTTTATTTTGCTAAGTTTAATCAATTTATTTTATTAATGTTCACAAGTGAACAAAATCCGTTGTTTGCTTATACGCGTGCTGAAAATTTCATCGACATCGATTGATGTTGTCACGAGCTGTTGACATTTAAAGTTCGTGGAAATAGCAGTTTTCCACTAATTTCAACAAAAAATAGGTAATTTTTATATTACTATAACCTTCCAGAGGCTGTAGTTTGGCTACGCGTCAACCGATTTCAATGAAATTTTCAGTATTCACAGAGATCGTTCAGTTTTCACAGAGATCTACAAAACCTATATTTTCATTTGTCGCTATAGGATCAGATAAAAAGGTTGAACAAACGAGAGTTTATTATTATTATTATTATTATTATTATTATTATTATTATTATTATTATTAATTTCAACCAAAAATAGGTAATTTTTACACCTTCCAGTGGCTGTAGTTTGGCTACGCGTCAACCGATTTCAATGAAATTTTCAGTATTCACAGAGATCGTTCAGTTTTCACAGAGATCTACAAAACCTATATTTTCATTTGTCGCTATAGGATCAGATAAAAAGGTTGAACAAACGAGAGTTTTTATTATTATTATTATTATAGCAAAATAAAAAAAAGTAGTTTAGTCTTCGTTTGGTAGACCAGTTCTCCGATCATCTGAAATCTGAACGAAGCTTCATTCGGTTCAGTTTGAAAGAAAGTCATTACGTTTTAATCTTTTAGGCACGACGCGCCATTATAGTGGCTTCCGCGGATGTCATCTCTCTGAACGACGCGCCACTATAGTGGCTTTCGCGGATGTCATCTCTCTGAACGACGCGTCACTATAGTGGCTTACTCTAGTAGCTCACTCGGTCATCGTTTGAACCAAATAATCGTCTTCATATGCATTGTTTCACACTTCCTTCGTCTTCACATCGATTTACAATATACCGACTTATCTTAACAATATAACTGTATCTTAACAATATACAGACAGAATATACAGACACTCTCTACATTCTGCCGTCCAGAGAAATAGCCTCGCGCAGAATTCAGCCGTACCTAAAAGGTTAAATGTGCGCCAAGCCATTTTTTCGCTCACTGTAAGTCGCAGTCTCGCGATCGCAAGAACGATCGCGCGTTTATCCGTTCACCGACAGATCCTCGGATCATAGATCCGTCTCGAGATTCCCGACCGATCCCAACAAGCAGGTTGGTCCGGCGAGGCGAAATTCGCTGGGCAAACTTTCCCCTGGAAGAAAACCACTCGGGACCTGGACACGTATTCAACCGTTCGTTCTGCTGGCCACAGGGCTCGCCGTGGCAGAATCGCCGTGGCCGCGAGTCCCATGGCTCGGTCGGACTCCGAGGACACGGACGGCCAGCAAATAGCAGCGGAGGAGCCTCGGTCTTATCGCAGCCGGGATTTCGTGATACTAAACCGCAGCTCGCCGAGAACGAGGACGGACTTCGAGTTGCTGTACAATCTCCTTGACCGTTGGCGCGTCCGCGAGACCGAGAAGGCCGACCCGCTTCCCCGTCTCGCCTCGTCCAGGATCGGTCTGTGCAGTCTAATCCTGTCGAAGGAGGTTGAGCTGCTGCGAGCCATCGACACGCTGAAAACGGCCGAGAAGCTGCGCAGAAGGCAGATCTCCTACCGGAAATTCCTCGATCGGCTCTCCCTATCGATCGTTTGGAAAAATCGTCTCGGCGAGCCGATCCTCGTCGACACGCCCCGCGTGCTGCTCGCCAGAATTCTGAAGGGCAAGTTCGACGGGCTGTCCAGGGAAGACGTATCGCCGGAGGACCGACGGGAGACGTTGCAGCAGCTCCGCGAGGACGTCGCGCCGCACACGTGCCGTGCATCGAACGAAGTGATACGGCTGCTGGACCAGGAGATCGATTTTCTGGACGGCGACGTCGACGTCGGCAAATTAAGCTGGCTGAGGAGCAGACTGAGAATCAGCTTCTTGGCCTTTGCCAGGGACGCCCTGGCCAGGGAATTCGAGGACTTTCCGTGCCCCGGATCCAGCAACAGACTCTGCAGGAGCTGCGGGAGGCTGCTGTCTCCGGAGAAGTTCGCGACAGAGAAGAGACGTCGATCCTCCTCGTGCAATCATTGCCTCTACGTCAGAGCCCGGACCGGACCTAGGATCGTCTACGGACCCTACGAGAGTCTGCTGAGGGACGTCAGGAGGAACGAGGCTAAGCTGCGGTGCTACAGCAGCTTCGCTTTCGTCGTGGACGCCAAGATCGTTTACCATTTGGTGAACGACATTTGGCACGGCAGATCGGCCATCTCCGAGAACGATCGCTTGTCGGAGCTGAGGCTCGTCAGGTTTCAGAGAGACCTGGAATGGTCTCCTTGGAACTGTCTTTTGTTGACGAGCCGCGAGGCAGCGGTGCACAGGCGGCTCGAGGAACCCGCGAACTTTTACGGGCCGATGATACTGCAGAAGTTTCACACGAGGAATCTGCAGGCGAAAGTTCAGTTCGGGATCGAGACCGGCCGCGGAAAGAACCCGCGGGCTTGAAAAAGCCGGCCGTGATTAAGGGCTTTACTCCTCGCCGAGTACCATTTATTGCGGGGATTTCTTTGCTCTTTGTGGAAGTTCCCGGGCTTGTTTCGACCCGCGGTGTTATTGTCGGACAGAGGCCCCGACGCTGAAAGGTGCAACTGGGACAACGGTTGCTCCTTAATGTATATTAATGCGACTAAGTATCGCGCAGCCACCGCTACAACGCTAACAATAAGTGTCACCCGGTCTGCGAGCAGCGATACCAGCTTCTGTTATTGTGTTACGGCGTCTTTGTTGTACCGGGGTTGTACGGGACCGATGTATATGCGTTATAGCGTTAGAGGGCTGGCCGAACACCTGATTCAAAGGAGGCTGAAGCGGTCGGGCATCGAATCGGGGGAGAAATCGTTGACGACTCGATAGTTGAAAGCTGTGTTTGACCTGACTTAGCCGTGGCTGGACCAGTTGCGAGATCGACGGTCGAAGGTTTAACCCTTAAATGCATATTGTTGCCAATTGTCTACATTCCAGTTCCACTTAATTTTATTCAAAAACCTGAGTATGTGCGTTTCCGAACAATAGACAATAGACCATGTGTGAAATAAAAGGCTTGACATTACTTTTGGCGAGTAAGTTATATGTTTTTTGACATTTGAATGTGGTGGGTGATAACCTTCAATGTCTTACTTCGAGAGATATTTTCTTTTTTCGAGTTTAAAAATTGCTTTGTGTCACAATAAAAATCGCAATTGCTTTGCTGCATTTTATTTATAAATAATATGAAAATTCCTATACTAATAGATAATATAAATACATGACCATTTGTTTACGTCTACAATAATTTTAGTAATGAACGGATATTGTTGCCCAAATTTACTACCAAAATTTTTACAAAATTTATTACCAAGATTCTTTTATTTATTTTTTACGTAACCTATGACTACATTCCTATAAAAAACGATTTTTTAAAATTTAAAACAAAAAATCATGCATTTAAGGGTCAAACGCTTCTGCGACTGCAAGCCTAATATCCGGATCGAATTATTTATTACTTATTTATTTATTTATGTATTTATTAATGGGCATGTTGCCCTTTGTGTACGATAAACCTCCGCCGACGACATTGGTCTTTAACACTATGTTTACGGAACCCGTCGAAATGACGGGTCGATAATTTTTTAATTTACGATTATTCAGATTGTAAGGATACATTGATGAGTTATTTAGACAATATATGCGCTACTTGCGGCAAATGAGAAGCGTTATTGTTTACCGACCAAATTTATTGTGAAGATCATTTACAGTTAAATTAATTTATGACAACTTCGTAACTTATTTCATTTGTCTTTTCATCATTTTAGCATTTATAGATTACATTTTAAAATGTAACTACGTCGAAATTTTCTAAAATGTCACTTACGCTACTATAATTTCAACCAATTCAAATGTTCCAATAAGACCGGTTAAAGATCAGAATAAATGTTTTATTGTTACTTGTATAAACTAATATAAAACGGCTGCTTTCGGTGCTCCGTAAATCTAGGCGCTAAACATCCAAGCGAAATATTCATCTCTGAATATCTTCGAGGCGGTAGAGCCGAGCTACGTGATTCCCCTTTTAAAAAATCTTAACGACTTTAACGATTTCATGCGATGAAATTCGATCTAATTATTCTTGCCGAACCTCTAGCATTTCGTTAAACAGAAAATATTATTTAACCGATTTCAGCCACCAGTTCCGCGAGCTTAAATTCGCTGGCAGTCTCGATAGCAATTTTGTGGCAATTCGATGTAACGCTCGGCTAAATTGAAAAATAAAAATGCGCACTTATCGCGGCGCCGTGTAACCAGCTTTAAATGCCAGCCGTAATATTTCGTCGTTACGACATCGTTCGCTGTGGAATAAAAGTTAGGGTCCTTTATGCCACGGAGCGTTACGCACCCCTAGACGAGCCATACCGCGACCGTTTCGTCGCGCTTTATTATTATCTTTTCTTTTAAATACGACGATATCTTTTTTTATTCGGCCCGTAAAAAATAAAAATTGTCGGACCACCGTAGAACGGCGGACGAGCATATTCGAAGCGGCGCGGCTCGCGTTCGCGTTACACGGCTCGGCTGCTTACAAAATAAAAGAGGGAGAAAAAAAACAGATTCCGGGGGTAGAACGCGCGCGCGACAATAGATCGTCCAATCTACCTGTATATTTTTAACACTTTGTTATATTTACGCGACGACCGTGTTGGTTTTATTGCGCCGTGCTCCTGACGCTGATCGATTCCAGCGCTCGTGTAGTTCATTCCCGGCTCGATCTCGCCGGTTTATCGTTTCCGTGTGCGCGGATCGCCGGTCTTTATGCAAATCTGCGCGTGTTATCGCGACGCGATATTAAACGAAATACTGTTTCCTAGGCACCGGTAGCCCCGATGCACTGGAAATTGGAAATGGGAAACAATTCCTTGAACGGTCCGCGAGCTGCGAATTTTGCTGGTCCGTTTCGTGAATCGATGGAAATGTACGTGCGTTCGTTATGCCAATGAATTGAATTACATAATTGTTTTGGAAAAATGTAGATTTCTTTACGTAGATTCGCACAGTTTTATCGAGCATAAGACGGAATCACAACTGAAATAAAAAGTGCTACGTCGTAAAGTGCCACTGTCCGAATTAACACTATGCCGTCCGGTGGCACCACGCTGATGCCATGCAAAAACTATCTGTTGTATGTCGGTGGTACCACTTTGGTGCCATTTTAAAAAACTGAAATAACATTTGAACTGTATTTCTTGGGTGTTAAAAGGCAGCAAACTAACTATAGCATTATGTTTATCTAAATAAGAATTAAGTACGAAAATTCTTGGATGACATATCTTAATTTTAGGAATTTATATTACCGCCATCTTCGACATTTTTTTTTAAATCTAAAATTTCCAAGCTATTATGCCGGCGCCAAACAAAAGAATCATATCTAAGATCTGCGGACAGCATAGTGTTAATTATTACAAACAACTGCTTCAGCACTGTGACTGTTACGTCGTCCATGTGCGGGTGACGGAATTATTTGTTCGGATTCGAAAATTCATTTATAGGCCAATCTAATACGTCTTCATAATTCTTTTAGGATCCGCCAAACGTAGAAATGTTGAAAAAGTTATTACTGTCATATAGTTTGACTTCTTAATTTGCACTCGACTATTAAACAAAATTACTTGGATTTCATGAAATTTTTCAAACAAACAAACCTACCGGGAGTTAAACGTAACTGGAATGACTTACCTCTAAAAGACGTCGAGATTGGATTCATTTAGATTTCGCGCGGTCTTCGTTAGAAAACCTGCTTGAACAAAGAAATTTATTGCGTCATTTTTCATAGAAACATTCTTGGAATTTCAATAATTGTTAAACGAGAAGTACGAAAGGAGTTGTTTGTGTGTGTGTGTGTGTGTTGATCGGCATTGCCAGGCTCAGCGTTAATTAACACTATGCCGTCCGGTGGCACCACACTGGTGCCATGCAAAAATTATCCATTGTACGCCGGTGGTACCACTTTGGTGTCGTTTTAAAAAACTGAAATAACATTTGAACTATATTTCTTGGGTGTTAAAAAGCAGCCAACTGACTATAGCATTGTGCTTTTATTTAACTAAGAATTAAGTACGACAATACTTGGATGACTTATCTTAATTTTAGGAATTTATATTACCGCCATCTTCGACATTTTTTTTTAAATCTAAAATTTCCAAGCTATTATGCCGGCGCCAAACAAAAGAATCATATCTAAGATCTGCGGACGGCATAGTGTTAAATATTACAGAATTTGGCAATTATTTATAGCATTATTTTTATTATATTATTATTATTTTTATTATATTTATTATAGCATTATTATTATTTTTATTATATTTATTATAGCATTATTATTATATTAATTATTATTAGCATTATTTTTAAAAACGATATTATTATTTCGTAATGCTGCCACTTGCTCGCCATTCGAAAGGATTAACACTAAACCTACCACCGCCGGTCAAATCTCCGGTTTATATCTCCGAATTTATATTACTGCCATCTTCGAAATTTTGGTTAAAATCTAAAATTTCCAAGCTATTATGCCGGCGTCAAACGAAAGAGTCATATCTAAGATCTGCGGATGGCATATTGTTAATTATGGTAAAAAGAAATTATGGTAAAAAAATTCTGTTTGTAAAATACATTTGCGTCCACCTGTTTGAGCGTCGGCCGATTAAGTAATAGAACAACCGACCCTGTGGTCAGGGACGATGTCGCCCCTCAAAACCCCCAAAAAGCCCCTCGAAACCCCTCAAAACTCCCCACGAAAACCAGGTCGGCGAAACCTTCGTAGAACAAATTCATATCAGAAGACTAGCACGTGCGCAAGAAGAGCAGCTCCGTGTCATTCGTTGGAGCATCCCGGAGCCACCTGGGAGCTCAACGAGGTCTCAGAACTAAAAACTGGGAAGAAGCAGAGATTGCTGGGGTTGAGACGTGAGACGTCGCCGGGAAGACACTGGGGATTACGAAGGGTTATATGTCTGGGCTGTTTTCCTGGCCTACGGGAACTTAGTTTATAAACTGCGGCCGCGATTAACTCGCGTTATCAACGCAGCGAAAGTCAAGCCAAAGGAGGGAGAAGGCGGCGCGATAACTTCTCGGTGTTAATACCGGCATTCCATCCCCTATTCGAAGGGTCTCCGCAACTTGGTAATTGAAAATAAAAACATGGTCCCGTGGCGCCGTTTCCACGGGGATCATCGACGACGGGATCGTTTTTCCTTTTTTTTTTTTAGGATGGAACCGGGGATGTTTCGGCCATGTCTTCTCCGACCGGGTTCCTAGGTGGAGGGGGGAGGGGGATGAGAAAAAACGCCGATCGTTTCCGCTAATCGCCGAACTTCGAACGGCCCCGCCGGAATTTATAGAAACGACTGTTGCATTAGGGAATGAACTTTCCGGTTGCTTTGAACTAAACTTACCCCGACCGAAGGGTAAACTTGTTAAGGAGGGCTGTAAACTCGGACGCTTCGCTTTCGGAACGGATATGAGCCGGTTAGTTTGATACCAGCGTAAGACAAATTTTCCACACTGGGAGAAACAATGAGTATTATTGCTTACTAACATGCGTGTTGTTCACAGAACAAATTTATCGTTGAGATAATTTAGAGTTAAGACAATTTATAATAACTTTATCGTTTATTTCACACTTGTCTTTTTAACATTTTGCCATTTATAGATTACATTTTAAGACATATGTATGCCCAACATTTTCGAAAATCTCGTTTACACCATTACGATTCTAATCAACTCAAATGTTACGATAAAACCGGTTAAAAATCGGAAGTCCAGATTTTCGAAAATCAGACTTACGCCACTCTGATTCTGACCCATTCGCTGCTGGACTCGCAGCGGCTCATGAATCGCTCGAACGCTTCGAGAATAATTACTTCGCTCTGCTTCTTCAGGGTTTTAATAGCTCTGCACGCATCGATTGATTATCGAAAGACTTCTCGATTACTTTTCCATCCGGATAT